TTCCCTTTACTTGATTTGCCGTTTGTGCTGATGGCTATTGTTGCTGCTGCTGTGTGTGTGAGTGAGTGTCGCCGTGGCGGCTGCGCGCCGCGCTGCTGCTCGGGGTCATCTCGCGGGTTCCCCGCCACCCGAGTGTCCACCACCACCTCCTCTCCTCCCTGCGCTCTTACCCGGCCGGGTTCCTCCTCCTCTTCCCGGCAGCAGCGGCATGGGCCTCGGGAGGCCTCTGCGCATGCGCGAGCAGACCCCCGCGTCCCCGGCACTCATCCCCCACAGCCCCCCTTACCTCTTCATCGCCCCCCTTTACTTATCTCTGGTCATCCCCTCCCCGTGTTCGCCCCCTCCCCCCGCGCCCATCATTCCTCTTTACTCAACGTCATCACCCTCGTTCTCCTCATCCCCTATCGTCGCTCCCCCAGACCCCTCTCATCATACTCCCCTTCCTCGTTTTGCTCTCATCACGTTTCTGTTCCCAATGCGCGTTATCTCTCAATCGCTTCTCACCTCTTCACCCCTAAACTAAGACACCCCCACTCCCCTATGCGCACCCCCTTTTAACGAGCGAATACCGAAGCGTTGTTCAGTCACCTCTTTAGAGACATCAGGAAACTCGCAATCGAAACCCAATCTTCACATGCAGTGCATCAGGCACGACATGTTCCACCGCCACCACTCTGACATCGCACACTCTCTCTCATATTCACTGTCCATAGTTTTATAACAATTATCGCACTGCAAGCCCACAACGCAATTCGCATCGGTTTGCTCAGAACAGTTCAATCCCTGCGACGGGCATCCGGTATTGTCGCCGCAAGGTTATTGCTGCTATCGCTATATAACTGCACAGATATACCATTAATAACGAGACCAGCGCTCCGCCGTCGTTCGCAAATTTATCACCAGAGCGCGACGTCTGGCCCGAGCTCTGGCGGACGTTAAAGACCAGGCGAGGTTGAGCGCTCGCTCAATCCGGGCACGATCCGTGCGTCGTGTGGGTGGCCCAAATCGCAACAACAAAAAAACAAATCGGGGAAATGAGGCGAGCCGCCAGAAGACGGGAGCTGTGGAAATGAGGCGCGCGATCTCTCTGCGCGGCACGCCTTAATACTGCCAACCGGGAACTGACCTTCTGCAAAAAAGCTGTCGCTTCTCCGTGCCGGATCGTGAATATTCCCTAAAGTTGTTTACAAATCTAACGCGAAACACAAACTGTATTACCCTGAAATAATTTAACAAAGTGTAGAGGATGTGACGTCACGCGCGCAATGTTATGCAATGCGAGCCGGAGCGAGCGAGGATGCGCGGCCGGTGTGCCGCGCATTGCTGCACGCAAAGTGTGTGGGCAGCGCGGTTGTACCGCACGTCTATGCTCCCGTTCTTGGCCAGCGCACATGGCGGCCTGGGGAAGGCCCTCATCCAGCAGTGGATCGACAAAATGGGCTGTGCGTGCAAAAGGTGATTAGCAAATAACAATGATGTCATTGATTTGTCCCGGGAAAGACTCAGTCCCAAGACTCCTGTTTAGGAGGATCCTGCAGTCGGATGATGTGTGTGGGAGGCCGGAATAGGCAAAGAAAGCCCACCACCTACGAGGGGCTAACAATAACTACGGCGGCGACACACACGGCTTCACTAAATACACTTGCAATTGTATTGTATAACCACGCAATACAAGCAGATTTGGGAGTTTCACGGATCTGTGTGTGGTCCACCAACCATTGTCCCTAACGCTCAGGGCCACACGCGTATGCCACGGCGCCTGGCTCAAGAGTTATAATAATGTCCTCTAAGGGCCATACTTTCTCTTTGGTTCTTTCGGTAAAGTCACGTAGAAAGAAAATAAATTAAATAATAGAATACGTTTCGATTGCAACACAAGTAACTGTCATCAGGTAGAACTACATTTGAGAGAGAGACAAAACACAGACACGGAGACACAGACACACAAGCAGAGAGAGAGAGAGAGAACTCAAACTGCCTATTTCTCTCTAAAATTTACCTCTCGTAGGTCCATTCGCTCTTTCTCTCCCTCGGTCGCTTCGGGGTGGATTTCCACACAACTCTCTAAAATGTACCAGTCTTGTTGGGTCTTTCATTGACATGCTAATTTCTGATTTAAAGCTTTCGTGACTGCAGGGATTCATATTGGTTCTTTTGGTAAAGTTACATAGAAGGGAAACATTAAAAAAATAAAAATATAAAACAATAAAACCATATATTTTATTATTTTATTGTTTCCCTTCTACGTGACTTTACCGACAGAACCAAGAATATGCTAATTTATCTGCTCCAGCAGCTGCTCCAGCAGACCCACCTCTCTGTCTCTGCTCCCCCTCTCTCTATTTAAGGCCTCGACACAGAGGCATTGGGTATCTGTGTGTCTATGTTGTGTCTCTCTGTACTTGTGTGTCTGTCTGTGTGTCTCCGTGTCTGTGTTTTGTCTCGCTCTCAAATTTAGTTCCACCTGATGACGGTTGCTTGTGTTGAAATCTAAACGTCGTATTCTATTATTTAACTTATTTTCTTTCTACATGACGTTACCGAAAGAACGAAAGAGTAATTCCTGCAGTCACGAAAGCTTCAAATCAAGTTTGGGCCATACTTTCCTTTTAAGTGTTGACTGCCAACACTTTATCACATCACGTTGTATGTACAGTGCCACGCCGCTGGAAGGGATGATGGACGATGGTCGGAGTGGCAGCCGAGGAATGGAACGCTTTCGAGAACAGGTCCACCGAGGAGTTGGAGCCATGAAATCAGTTCGTGTGCATGTGTGGAGTGTGAACTACATCGCAGCGTCCTGATGGCGCCGGCTTAGGGAGGCCTTACATCAGATCATGACCGGTGTTGATTTTATGTGGGTCAGCAGCCGGAACGTCTTGCTTGATGGCAACAAATTCTTTAGAATTCATATTCTTGATTCTTTCGGTAAAGCCACGTTACTTTACCGAAAGAAACAATAATGTGAAACCAAGAATATGAATTGCAAGAATTCATATTCTTGGTTTCATATTCTTGGTTCTTTCGGTAAAGTCACTTTACCGAAAGAACAAAGAATATGAATTCCTGCAGTCACGAAAGAATTCGCCGCGAGGACTAAAGAAGCTCCGGCGCATTGAACCGAAACCCGGAGCGAAGAACCGGTTTTAACTGCTATTTTTCCAGAGCGAAAACCAAAAACTGAAACGAACCTTTTTTCTGCTCCAGACTGCAATCCGCCTAAAAAGATGCGGTTATCGGTTCAATGTGAAAATATTGTACATTGGCATTTGTATGGTGAAACGTTAAAACAAACAAACACAATACAGGACTAGATGGCGTGGGGGGAGGGTCCGAGGGTGGGGGTTTCCTGGATGAGAAATGTACTGCCCCGACTATGACGGTGACAATTGCCGATATCAACCGCGATAGCCGTGGGAATCAACGTTCCACGCACTCAAATATTGAGTTAATGTCCCACGCACTCGAATCTTGAGTCAATGTCCCACGCACTCGAATTTTGAGTCAATGTCCCACGCACTCGAATATTGAGTCAATGTCCCACGCACTCGAATCTTGAGTCAATGTCCCACGCACTAGAATTTTGAGTCAATGTCCCACGCACTCGAAACTTGAGTCAATGTCCCATGCACTCGAATCTTGAGTCAATGTCCCACGCACTCGAATCTTGAGTCAATGTCCCACGCACTCGAATCTTGAGTCAATGTCCCATGCACTAGAACCTTGAGTCAATGTCCCACGCACTCGAATCTTGAGTCAATGTCCCACGCACTCGAGTCTTGAGTCAATGTCCCGCGCACTCAAACCTTCAGTCAATGTCCCACGCACTCGAATCTTGAGTCAATGTCCCACGCACTCGAACCTTGAGTCAATGTCCCATGCACTAGAACATTGAGTCAATGTCCCATGCACTAGAACCTTGAGTCAATGTCCCACGCACTCAAACCTTGAATCAACGTTTCACGCACTCGAATCTTGAGTCAATGTCCCACGCACTCGAATCTTGAGTCAATGTTTCACGCACTCGAACCTTGAGTCAATATCCTACGCACTCGAACCTTGAGTCAATGTCCCATGCACTCCAATCTTGAGTAATGTCTCATGCACTCGAACCTTGAGTCATTGTCTCACGCAATCGAACCTTGAGTCAATGTCCCATGCACTCGAACCTTCAGCTTGCAGACATTGCCTTGAATTGGATCGATTAGCCTCTGGCGAGCAGCATTCAATTCATTTATGAGTTCGATAGCTGACCATGACATACGACACCCGTCGCAAAGGGTGTTTGAAGCCGACCTGGGCCTAGTCCACTCATCCTTAAATATAAACCTAGTATGGTGTTTAAACATCACCACTTTGGTGAAAAAGTCAAATCAGGGTTATTCAACATAACACCCACCCCTTGTGTGACATGTCGTCCTTAATAGGTGTTCGCTATAAACACTTGCTTTTTATTTCGTTTGTTGAACTTCCCCCACACTTCGAATTAGCACGGTTAGCTACGTACGGTGCGAAAGTAGTTCAACATACATACAGCAGTCTATATAGCTACACGGGAATGTATATTTTGTGTGTAGACGTAGCGCTGTCTTGTTCATTCACGCATTGACACACGCTTCCAAATACAAATCATTTCTATTCCTGGCGATGACATAGACCGATCAGTTGGCAAGCAGTATCTGGGACTCTCCTAGGTCAACAGAACCTTGAATAAGAGTCAGGTGAATTTACGATAGAAATCAGCACTTGGGAGACAAAGGCGGCTAGGCGTGGTTCGACCTCCTATGTACCCCCCCCTTCCACTCACAACCCTTGAGCGCCCTCAATGCGTTGCTGCTAACGAGGTCATTACATCATAGTCGCGTGTAAACGTGAGCGAAGAAACTCCTGGAACGCAAATTTCCCCACATCACAACACTAAACATTCGCATACATCAAACACTACTGCGCAAAACACATGCATTTAATCGTGCCTGCTATGACACTGCCATCGAGTGAGTCTACAGATTAATCATTATAAATCAGCGTGCTGAGGTGACCTACCGTTACAATCGGATATACGCTCGTCCATACAGTCTAGGTAGACTGTATATAGGTCAACCTAAGAGGTGTTAGAGGATTGTGCGGAGGCAAGAGCCATGGCAGCTGTGAGATTCAGCGCTACTCCCAGCATCACGGTACTGTTGTTGCTGCTGCTGCTACCGCTGCTGATGGATGAGTTGTGCCAGCGGTCGTACAGACAGCAGGCTACCGCAGTGATGGTTGCTGTGTTGTAAATGTGTCACGAGTACCGAGTCAAGTCGGTGTTGCATTAGATGCGTTGTCGTGTCATCGCAATTATCGATATCGTCACGGCTGCGTTATATACCTCGCTCGTGTATTCATTGTATAATCGGGCGGAGAGGTGGCAGAGCGGTTAGCGCACTACGCTATGAAACAGGCGATCAGAGTTGGACTATTTTCCACGGCTGGCATCAGTGGCGATTGATATCTGAAAGGGTTTTGGGTCTCGCTCCCCCGTCCCTCTTCACGAAGCTGCTACAATGACCATCGCGGTGAAGTAGGGTCAATCAACCCCCACGACCATCACGGCCGTGTGGAGGCCTTCGTCCAGCAGGGGGTTGATAGAGAGCTGTGAACTTTACAACCATCATCTACAATAAGCATGGCTTCATTTCAGCCGGTTCGCATCCGGCACACCACATCCAGTAGACGATGCGCTATGGCTGTGGCTACTTTTCCAGTCTCCCAGCGCCCCTGGAAATATTGAATGAGAAATGAAACCCTGCACACAATCCGTCTGCCATTCTGATCATCACCCGTCCGTTGTGCTGCTTGTGGCTGTGTTGCAGACCATTTTGCTCAAACTTGTCACGTGTCTCTTAATCTTCTACTCGGCCTTCTACACCGTGTCCAGCCTGTGCCTCGGAGTTTTCAGGTAAATCCACTCATCCACACACGCGTACAAAGACACCCCGTATAGTCTTAATAGACTGTTGGTGCAAGTGCTGTTAGCGAGCACATATGAAGGCTGGAACGACACACGAGGGGGTGGGTGGCCAGCACCACGCCTGGCCGCATTTGTCTCCCGAGTGGCGATGTGTACACATCGCACCAGATACTAATTTCAGGCTGAGTCGACCTAGGGGAGGCGCAGGACCGATTCACCAGTGTTCGCTGTGAGCTCGGGTCGTCGATTTCGTAGCGCAGCGTGCTAACAGTTGCGCTGCCGCTCCCCACACGTGCGCACACACGTTCTACCATTATTACGAATAAATAATGTCACTAAAGGTTGTGATATAACTGTTGTTTTTCATCTTTGATCACACGTTTACTAAGTTGCTTGAAAACACACATGCTGATTCCGAATGTACTCTCACCTGGTTATGAAAATGTCATGAATGAATGAGCTCATAGAAGAGACGGTAAGTGTCAGTGGGCCGTGACCTCGTTATAAATAAAGGACATGAATGAACGAATTAATGAGTAAAAGAGACAGTTAATGTCAATGGGCTGTCATCTGATAATGGATATAGTTCATGAATGAGTTAATATGTCTTGCACGATACGACCATCGATGTTTGATGTACACTGGTTTTTATCGGGTATGATATTCACTTTATAAATGCATACTGTGTAATGTTCCGTTCGGAGTGAATTTCCAGGTGAAATAGTTTAATAAACAAATGTGGTGTCCACTTTTCTCGTATCCATGATCGTCCACCCTGCAGGATGGAGAAGTTTGATGGCCTCATGCCCTTCGATTTCAACGAGCCTCCTTCGCTAAAGCCCTCCTACATAGGTGAGACTCCCAGTTCAGACGCTTGAGATGTCACACTGATGAGGAGTGTTTGTGTGTACGGTTAATGCCCCTAGTGTTTTATGTATCTAGGAAAACAGCACCGACTCTCAATACTTTTTTCAGATCGCTCCTTCATTAGGATGATTGGTCAATGCCATTAATGAATGTTGGCTTCATGTGGGAGGAACCTGGAGGACCCAGACAAAACGCATTCATATCAGGTGGTGACGACACCCCAAGCTCCAAACAGATAGATTCAACAATGCATTGCTGTATGAGCATTTCTAGGACACCTTGCAATCCAAGCCTACAACACCTGGTATCCCCAGGTAACCTCTCATCCAAGTACTTACCAGGCTCAACCCTGACTCGTGTTCGAAATCCGACGGAAATGATTGCATTTAACACAATGAGGTGTTAACGCGATGTTGGCCAGCAACGAATAAGGTTGACTCAAAAGCCGATAGGGTAACGTGGCCAGGACTGCCTTCTGCCATGTTTGTCTACCCGGCTCTGCTGTTCACCTGCACGAATGTGAGGCTGAGTTCCCCTAGGAGAGTCCTTTACCATTTTGTGAATGTGTGCTTGCGTCAGCCATCCTCATCTCCACGGAGGTGACCTTTCTGCTGAGTGGACTCCTCTTTGCCATCGTCGTGCGGGGCTGGCTCTGGGACTACGCCGTCTCCGTGACTGTCGTCCACATCATTACCACCTGCATCGGTGAGTGTAGCGCTAGGAGCACCACCATCATCCACCTCATCACCAACATCCACATCGCCACCATCATCATCACCATCACCACAAGTCACTATCTCATACATATAATCACAACCATTATCTACATCTTCATCACCACCATAATCACCATTATACACATCATCACCACTATCATTCACGTCATATACATCATCAACACCATCCACATCATCACCATCATCCACATCATCACCACCACCAACAAACATCCACATGATCTACATCACCACCAACATCGGCATCACCACCACCTTTGTGGGTGAGGTTAGCGCTGCGAGCACCACAGAGGAGAAGCGACCGGGATCTGGAGAAGCTACGCAGTGCAGTGAGGAGACTGGGCGAGAAGTTTTCGTGCAGAAGGAGACAACCAAATGCATCCCGAAGTCGAACACTTTGCCAAATCCTCACGCCGTGTGGGTAATGGGGGTTATTAGACCATACCTTCACCACGCTGGTATTTGCGGGTTAGTGCTGGTGGGCAGCACGGACGTGGGAGTCCGGTCGAGAAACTTTCAGCAATGGTTTGCGCTGCACTGCCCTCTGCTGCCCACCGCACAGCCCTGCTGGTTCATACGCCGTGGGTGTACAGTAGCCAAATGCTTCGGTACTTATTTCCTTAAGATCCCAAGTTAAATGCAAGGTTATTAGTTGAACCGGGAGAGTAGGATGAGTCTCGCTAACAAGAGTGACCTGGGTCACCAAAACGACAATAGCGATATCCAGCAGTGGAGAGAACAGGAATCCGAGAAGACACGACCGCGTTACAGGGGAAACGGAAATACATGTACTGGACAAGCGTGAACCAACTCTTACACAGAAACAGCATTGTCCTGCAACCCAAGTCGGCACAGAAAAAATACCTTTAAACAGTTCAAAGTCATTAAGTAAAAAACGTTCAACAAGTTTAGGAAAAGAGGATTTATATCCCCTGTTTGTTTAGGGCAGGGGTCGGGAACCTTTTTGGCTGAGAGAGCCATGAAAGCCACATTTTAAAATCAATTTCCGTGAGAGCCATATCATATTTCTTTAACACTGAATACAACTAAATGCGTGTATTTTTAACTAAGACCACCAATTTTTGAATATAATAAGTCTCTGAATGTATCCTTTTTAATAACGTTATACCAACAACCAATAATAAATAAAATACTTCATACCATTAATGCGACTTCTGGTGCTGCATGGTTTTGCTGATGGCTTTGTAGTCTGGTTGATACGTGGTGAGGTTAAGCTTCATGCAGGCGTTGAGGCTTTCATCCGTTAAACGGGATCGTAGGTTGGTCTTGATGTTTTTTAGATGTGAGAACGACTGCTCACGTGAATACGTAGAACCAAACATGGTCAATACAACAATACTCACACGCTGCAGTGTGTGGTATGTGACAGGAAGCGCGTTCCATGTTTTGACAATCAACTGGTCTGCGGGTTGACGTTTTTTTCATTTCTGTCCACTCGTGTTTGCTCGCCAGCTCTGATTGCTGTCGTTCAAGTCTTTCCAAATTTTCATTCAGTGAATTGAACTTATTCACCCACATGTCTGAGGCCTTCAGGTCAGCAACTTCCAGCTCAAAATCTCTAATGGAGACACCAGGGATGTAACTCAGGTCGGCTTTGTCCACTGCACACTCGTGTGGATGAGTGATGAACTTGAAAAGACGAGTGTGCTCACGAAATTCTCCAAAGCGTGCTATGAATGACTGCTGGAGATCAGATGTGAAATCAGATAGCTGCTGGAGATCAAAATGTTGAACGGGGTCACTTGCTGTGCACGCATCTTTAAATTCTCTCAGTTTTTCAAAGTGCAGTAAACGACCTGTTTCAATATCCACGATGAAGAGTTCCAGCTTGTTTTCAAATGCAAACACTTCTTGTTGAAGGGATAAGACTGTATTTCCAATGCCTTGCATTTTCACATTGAGCTGGTTCAGATGTCCAGTCATGTCTACAAGATAATAAAACTTCAGGTGCCACTCAGTGTTAGCTAGCTCAGGATGCTCGACATCTTTCATTTCAAGAAAAGTCCGGATTTCGCTCAGGCAAGCCGCAAAACGGCTGAGCACCTTCCCTCTTGACAACCAACGCACTTTGCTGTGCAAAAGCAGACCGGAATAATGATTCCCAACTTCATCCAGCAGTGTTTTAAACTGGCGATCATTTAAAGCTCGGGCAACAATAAAGTTGACCACCCGAATGACCAGTGACATCACCTCACCAAGCTGCTCGCCACACATTTGAGCACAAAGCGCCTCCTGATGTAGAATGCAGTGAAGACTTAGGATTGGTCTTTTTTCATGTTGACGAAGAAGCCCTACAAATCCTCTGTTTTCCCCCGCCATACACGGAGCACCATCAGTACATACCGAAATAAGCTTATCCATCGGTAGATTTTTTTCTTTAGCGAACTCAATGAAAGACTTGAATAAATCCTCCCCTCTTGTTGAACCTTTCATTGGCAAAACAGCAAGACTTTCCTCACGCAGTGTGTCACCGGCAGCATACCTTGCAATCACACTGAACTGGGATAAATGACTTACGTCTGTTGACTCATCCAAAGCAAGGGAAAAGTATGGCGCTGCATTTATGTCCTTCACTTGTGTTTCCTCCACTTGATTTGCCAGCATTATGGTACGATCGTGAACAGTTTTTGTTGACAGAGGCATGTCTTTTATTCGTTTGATTATCTTGTCTTTATCTGAAAAGTCGTCAAAAAGTTCGTTGGCCACATCAAGCATGAATGTTTTGGCATACTCGCCATCTGTGAATGGCTTTCCGTTCCTCACAATTGCTAAAGAACCAGCAAAGCTAGCCGAATTCCCGTCACCTTGTCTGGTCCATGCACGGAGTTGCTGCTGACTAGCTTGCACTCTGGACAGTAGCTCTTGGCATGCCTTCTTTCTGCTGTCCCCCGCTGGATATTTCGATGAAAATGTAGCATGGCGTGTGTCGAAGTGCCGCTTTATATTTTACCGTTTCATCGATGAAATTTTATCATTGCATATTAGACACACCGCAGAACCTGCCCTCTCCACAAAGGCGAATTCTTCTGTCCATTCGTGCTGAAATGTGCGGTACTCCTCATCTTTTTTTCTTTTCGCCATCTTCTTCATCAAAAGGGTTTGCTCTGCATAAATTAGCTAGCTGACTATTTGATTAAAAGGACGGAAGTTTACTTCTTGACCTCACAACGACCCGTAGGCTACCGCATTATCCAATAAAAATAGAGTTTTGGTGTCGGACAGCTGGGATTGGCTCCAGCCACCTGCAACCCTGAGCAGGAGCGGTAGAAAAATTGATGGATGGATTAAAATGCATGAGAATGTTTTATATTTTAAACGTTATTTTTAACACTGTCATTTCTGTAATGTTTTACTTTAATGTCAGCGGAATTATTCATTACTTATCATGTTAAGAAATGTCAGCTAAGATTTATTTGCGAGCCAGATGCAGTCATCAAAAGAGACACATCTGGCTCGCGAGCGGTTGCCGACCCCTGGACTTTAGGGCTTTGGCCACATTTGCGACTTATTTTTTCCCCAGTAATGAAGCTGAAACTTTCCAGACAGCTCAGGACGCACAACTTCGTAGATGTGCGTGTATATTCTTTGTATGGAATAATGCAATATCACATAATACTGTACATCACACACAATCAACAGATATTTCATGTATTGTGAGAAATTGTACTGCGTGTCCCATAGCTGTACCCGTGCACACTCGCTTCCCCACGACAAAAAACGACCAAACCTCCCTGAATGCACCGATCTCGTCACATTTCAGAAGCTAAGCAGGTTTGAGCCTGGTTAGTACTGAGGTAGGAATCCTATGTGTTCTAGGCCTTGGCTGCGAGGAGACCATGAGACGGCAGCACGTCAATTAATTCTTAAATCTGCCTGTGCAGAGTGTTGAGTGTTAGTTACCCCCTCGTATGTATATCCGGTTTCCTCCCACACTTAGCCACACACTCGTTCATGGAATTGGCCAAACATTATAATGTAGGACTTTCTCAAAAACGAGGCTTGAGAGTCGGTGAGGCTTTCCTTGATGAAGGGCATCGTTATCGATTATTCTAGATCAAGATCGTGGCCAAAGCCGTTGATGCCGCCCATACTGGACGTCTGTGAAAAAGAGCTTTATAGCTCATCTGATTCCTCCAGTCTAAATAAAGATTCTGATGCCACCGCACCTCCTCGCCGGCGACCCCCGGCCAGAGCCCGCAGCTGCTGGGGGCTGCTGCTGCGCGCAGTCGACAGGCAGAGACCTCCACCGACTGCCCGGACAGCCTCCCACCGTCTGCCCTTAAGTCTTCCCCTTGGCCGCCGAACAGTTTGAACGAAGTTTTGATGAGCGGGGCTATTATTGTTCCTAATAAAATATAAATGTATCCCACACCTTCCCTTTCTATGTCTCATTCATTGCAGTCTCACTCAGTTTCCCGCTGGTCTGGCATTGGTGGGCAGCGATCGGTGAGTACAGTGAAATAATTTCCAGCGTCTTGAGACGCGGTGACACGTAAACGCGCCGTGTAACCACAAATGCATTGCAACAATTATTGTGTGTACCCCTGTAACTCAGTCATCGTGAATCTGACGGCCGTTAAATTGGCACTTAGGGTGTCGTTATTATCGAGGGAGTAAACATTTGAATGAGTCTGCGTTGGTGATGATGCACAAACACAACCAAGACAGACTCCACACGCTCGTCTATAATGCTGTTGTGTGGCCATACAAGGGGAAACTACCGTGATGTGGTGAAGTTTAGGGCAACGATATCAAATTGTGTAGGAGCCTTCACCAGCAGACGGCGCTAAACCACGTGCTGCTGCTTCTGCCCTTGTGGATATCTGTGACTTGAATGGCAGATGTGCAGCTACTGTGGGTGTCCAGATACCCCATAATTTTAATATATGGATACGAGACCCCCACAACATTTTAATTTCATTCATTCGTGCATTCATGTTATTGTACACCAATACCAACACAGCATCACCAAATAATGTCCACCTTCCCAAGTGTAGTTTGCTCTTTGATTTCGCCTTACTTCATTGTTGTACAGTACTTGTTTTTATCTCATTGCTTGTCATTTTAGTGACCCAGGTCACTGTTGTGAATGCGACTCTCCTGGTCTCTTGAGCACTCACCTAGTTAAACTAAATACACTTGAAGTATCCTGCTGTGGTTTTGGTCACTGACTCTAGTGTGTGGTTGTGGTCACGTGAACACAATGAGAGGACCGAAAGTGCAAAGAGAACAAAAGCAAAAATCGGAGCAGTACTTTGCACTGGTAGGTGTGTGGATAGGTGTGGGGGCGGAGCACGTGAGCCAACCAAATTACAACCAGATAACCCTCAGCCCTAACAGACTAGCTTAAACTATATATATATTTTTACCAGGTAAGGCCCACTGAGCTACATAGCTCTTTTTCAGAAGCGGTCTGATTACAAATGATAGCTCATCAAAGTGGTTTATCACGTGGGAATTTATAACAGTCAAAGACTCTAAACGCATGTTTCTAAATGTGGAGGGAAAAACTGAAGAACCCGGAGAAAACTCCTCGCGACCACCGGGAGAACATAAAACTCCAAATAGACAGGCCTCAGGGTCAGGATCGAACCCATGACCTCCTGCATACCAGGCGAGGGAGTTAACATCTCGCCACCGCGGCACCCCATTTAGCCCCGAGCGCCATCCCTATCCCTGGCACTTTTCCTAACACGAGACTCATCTCTCGGGCTCCACTCCCCCGTGCACTGCTGGCACACGTGGCCAGCACGCGGTCGTAGCGCCCTCCATCCACGTCGAGGCTCGAGTGTGTATCTCGACTTACCACAGCATTAGCAGCTGGTTGGGTTCTGGGTCGACATGGGGAGCCGTTTGCAGCCACTGCCAGGTGTCGTGTCACGTCGTTTGGTAGAAACATAGGCTGAGGGCAGCGTGAGGTGGCGTTCCGACGGGCGTATGTCTGACAACGTCCGAACAGCATTGCATCTGGAAAGCCTGCGTTTTGTCCGAGTGGGCCTTCAGTATCCTCCATGTGTCGGGCTTGTACAACAAAACTGAACCACCGCAGGTGTTTGTGCTGTATATGCGCAGTGATGTTGCTAGGCCCAGCCGGTTTTGTTTCCAGACACGAGCGAGCGGTGCTTCACCCAGTCCCCTCCTTCACGCTGTGCTCACTCTCCACTGTTGGTGCTCAGAGCACTGCTGTGATCATGACTGCCACTGTGCAGATCCTCACTGGTGAGATGCCGATACTCATGGTGAGATGTCAGTGATGTTTGTGACATGAGATGGCGGTGCAGGTAGGGTGAGATGATGGTGCTGATGGAGAGATGCTGGTGGTGTGAGCTGATGGTGCTGGTGGTGAGTGCCTCCTGCTCTTTGTGAGTTGAGATACCGTCAGGTGCCCGCTCACCCAGGTGCGTCTGGTTGTGCCATAGGCTGTGGCCTGGTGCTCATGGTCACGTCGGGGCAGCTGATGGCGCTGATTGTGTGCCGAGAGCTGCCCGCCATCCCCATCATCGAGGACAGGGTGTAAGGGCAGAGAGAACGGGGACACGGAGAACATGGCGAGATGGGAGCCAAGGAGACTCAGACATAATGCAGACAGAGGGAAATGGGACCAAGGGGACACAGGGCGATGAAGTCACTGGGAGATTGAGATGTGGAGTCGGGGGGGGGGGTCACAGGGACGCGGGTACTTAGGGGAGAGGGCTTCTCGGGGATTCCGGGCCACCGCCGCTGGGATAGAGGCGCCAAGGAGATGTGGACATTGGAGGGAAGGACCATCATGAGCAATGGGACGTGCAATCGCATCACTTACAGTGTTTGAACATGCTAATTTGTATTAACGTGATGGATAGCTATACGTGGAGAACTGTTTAACTCATTATTAACGGGAGAGCTGTGGATATGGTGAGGATGTTCACTCAGGGTGTTCAGTGCCGTGCTGAGCGCTACATACAGTGAGGGAAAAAATTATTTGATCCCCTGCTGATTTTGTACGTTTGCCCACTGACAAAGAAATGATCAGTCT